AAGACAAAGAGAACTTGTCAGGTGCTGCAGGACACATCTGGCTGTTCCTTTAATATGATTTAGGTGGCAGGTGATACTAAATTTGCCCAGACAAAGCCTCTACCCCTCTGTTGCTTGTGGATAGGGTTGCTAAGCAATCCCTGTAAATGGAAAGTCTTCAGGAAGCTACTAAGCCCTATCCCAGAAACCTCCCCTCCCATACTGTGCCACCGTAAAAGAGATCAATTTATCTTGGGCCAGTATTTCCTGTAAATTCTAATGGCCAGAATCCTATCAAGGGTTTACACCTGGATTAGTGTAACTGCAAGAATCATGACAGCCAATTGGCCACTAATTAATGTGCTGCTGCTCACATTCTTTGTTGTGTGCCAGTCTTGGCATGGGACAAGAAATGTAAGCAGCGACTTGTTAATTAATGACAGTCTGCTACTACAATTTACATGTACAGTTGTATGTAAACGTAGGATTCTGCGATTGATTTTGATGCATCTACTACATCAGTGGTTCTTAACCTTTGTTACTCGGATGCTTGTGAACTGTAACTCCCAGAAACCCCAGTCAGGACAGCTGGTGGTGGAGGCTTCTGGGAGTTGCAGTCCAAAACTCCTGAGTAACCCAAGGTTAAGAACCAGTGTACTACATGACTTAATTGTTATTGTTAACCATGCCCCAATTGCCATGACAATATTATTCATGTTTCTTTGGCATAGATATTAATTTAGCCTTTGCATTATTCCTGTTTCTCCTGTGTACTGGTCAAATTATACAATCTGCTGTTTGTGTGGTTTAAGAAAAGTATTTAAATAGGACAGTGCAGTTTTAAAGTTAAATTGGTTAAGGCAGGCCCATCCTGAACATCTGGACTGGCTCTCAGCACTGATTTCATGTTAAAACCACTCCCCATACCTCTCCATATTAGTATTTTGATGTGACAATGCACACATCATGCACATCATCTTAGGAAGCAGCAGAGGATGGATGTATTTTCACCAGGTAACTGGTGATAGTTCAAAGAGTATTTCAGACGGTGGCAGTATTGCTGCTTTTTTTCTACTATGTAAAAGTGGCCAGTTGAAACATGTCTTTTAAAAAGCATGAAGAATATGATAGATACTTCAATCCAAAAGAAAGGCTTCCCCTGATGGTCTTGAAGTCTAGGTAGGCTCATAAACGGAGATACAGTCCTTGGATCCAAGTCACTTAGGAATTTATATGTTAAAACCAGCATTTTTAGTTGTGCCTGGAAATATACTGGCAGCCAGTAGAGCTGCCTTAATGGGGAGTTGTATGATCCCTGTAACCAGTTCCAGTTAACAATCTGGCTGCAGCATTTTTTGACCCTCTGAAGTTTCCAAACACTTTCCAAAGGTAGGCCCATATAGAGTGTGTCACAGTAATTCAACTGGAATGTAACTAAGCCATGAATTACTGTGGCTAGACCAGAAATTTTCAGGCAAAGGTGCAGTTGGCACACTAATTTTAATTGTGAAAATGCACTCCTGGCCACCATCGAAACCTGGCTCAGGGATGAATCCAGGAGCACAATCAAGCTTCAGGGGCAATCCAGCACAGGCTGCATCCCTGTTCCCTGATTTGCCTTTCAACTGAGCAGAAGCACTTTTGTCTTCTCTGAATTAAGTTTCAGTTTATTCACCCTCATCTAGTCTATTACTGGCACCAGACGATGATCAAGAACTGAGACAGCTTTCTTGGATTTTGATGGAAAGAGACATAGAGTCGCGTGTCATCTGCATAGTGTACTGGTGACATAAAACTTCAAATCAACCTCTCCCAATGGATTCAAGTTGATGTTAAAAAGCATAGGGGACAAAACAGATCCCTGAGGGGCCCCCCCAGACCAACAGCCAGGGTGTCAAAGAGGAGTCCCTCACCACCCACCCCTGAGTTCTTACCTTTATGAAGGACTGGAGCCACTGTAAAACAATGCCCCAAAATCCCCTTCCAGAGAGATGGCCCAGAAGGATACCATGGTTGATGGTATATTGAAAGCCACTGAGAGTGTCAGCAAACCCAACAGGGACACCGCACCCCCCAGTTCCTTGTGCAGGTCATCCACCAAGGCAACCCAAGCAGTCTCTGTTCCATAACCAGGCCTGAAGCCAGACTGAAATGGATCTAGATAAGTCAATTCATTCTGTGGAGCCACCAAACACTCCAGTACCTTGCCCAAAATTGGAACATTAGAGACTGGCCGGTAATCTTCTAATATTATGAGATTCAAGGATGGTTCTTTCAGTAATGGTTTTACTATTGCCTTCTTTTAGCATGCTGGGATCCTACCCTGCTGAAGAGAGGCATTCACAACTCCTCCTACCTACTCGGCCAATCTCGCTCTGGTACCTTTTACAGTGGTTCCTCGACTTATGAACTCGAGACCATTTTGACTTACTACCTTCTTTGTAGCCCTTTTGCCCCAGCGGTTGGAGTGAGTGCGACTGGGGAAGGCTTCGGACTGCCTGGTAAGATAAGGTGCTGCTTACCTCCCGAGTATCCGTGTTTTCAGAGTGCACTCACATGGTACACAGTGATGCCACACTTGGCCTATGTATGAGGCAAAGTATCAACCTCCCTACCCACTTGTCTTCTGTAAGGCCAGGGTTAATTGGTTGCTTTTCAAGAGCATGAGTTGAAATGTTTGTCCTGTTCCTGATTGTTTTATTTCCAATTTCCTGCTTAGTAGGGTTTTGACGCTGGTAAATAAGCTTCCAGTTAACACCTCTGCCCCCTCTGGGTAGCAGAAACTGAATAAGAATCTGGGAATGGAGCTGAAGCATGTGACTTGGGCGCCTTCTTTTTTCATCTACTCTACCTCTTATCATTGATAATGAGTGAAAACTAATTTGCCATTTTGGCTGTTGGGTTTTGCTTTGTTGACCACCAGAGTTTTCAGGACAACAGAACTCCGTATGCTGTTGATTTGTGTCCTTAATGTAGCACTAAGCTGTACCATCTGAATAGAAGGGTTTAGATATTCTTTGGCAGGGTATTTTATACACAAAGCCTTATTAGCATATAGTCATCCAAACTTTTCTTAAATAAATACTTAGTATTTGAAAGAGGGACGTGGTGGCGCTGCAGGCTAAACCGCAGAAGCCTGTGCTGCAGGGTCAGAAGACCAGCAGTCGTAAGATCGAATCCACGTGACAGAGTGAGCGCCCGTCGCTTGTCCCACCTCCCACCAACCTAGCGGTTCGAAAGCATGTAAATGCAAGTACAGAAATAGGGACCACCTCAGTAGGAAGGTAACAGCGTTCCGTGTCTAAGTCGCACTGGCCATGTGACCACGGAAGATTGTCTTCAGACAAATGCTGGCTCTATGGCTTGGAAACGGGGATGAGCACCACCCCCTAGAGTCGAACACAACTGGACAAAAATTGTCAAGGGGAACCTTTACCTTTACCTATTTGAAAGAGGCCCTCTATAAAAATGAGTGAGGAACTTCTCTGATATTTAGGGTAACTAACTCTGCACTTGAACAGAAATTTCCTCTTCCTACTGAAGGTGTCTCTCAACACTCATTATTATGTACCTAACAATAATGTACTTCTCCATTTTCTCTTGGCTCTTAAAGAGAAGTAAAGAAAAATGCCTGGTGAAGGAAATATTAATATTTAAATCTTATTTGAACAAAATGTTTCAATGTCTAAAGGTGTTGCTATTTACTTTCTATCAACCTCTAGTACCAAAAAAGGACTAGGATTTAAAAATAAATAAATGCAAATGACAGCTATAGAAAAGGAAATGTTGCTTTGCAAATGCTTATCCATATATTGTTACTGTGCACAGAGGGATTGTACAAAGTACTTTAGATGAAAATATTTTTCTATAGTAATGCTGACTGTGATGCTCCTGCTGCTGATGGAGTTGCAGGATGTGTTGAAACTTGCAGTCACAGCTTGGAAAAGTTAGTTTGGGGGAGGGGTGTTATAATTCTCAGAAACTCCCAGCCAACATGGCCATGCTGCCTAAGGGATCCTGGGAACTGTAGTCCAATTCCTTTCCCAAACTCTGCTCATAATACAGCTGGTAACTAATATGTGAGGAAAGGGGAGAAACTCGATCTATGTCCTTTGAATTTTTTTTTCATTATTAAATAAGTGGGAGTTGTAGGAGATGGTTTGGTTTCCTAAAGCCCAATGGTTTTATGCTTCCCTAGGTCTAATTTGGAAAGCACTGTGCATGAAAACAAGTCACATTTCTTCCTCTTACTAGGCTTGCTGCTTCATGGTGAGAGAGGTGGAGGGATAGAAGGGGAAGAGGGGGGATTGAAGAGTGACAGAAAGAGGGGATAGCAGAAAGCAAACATGAAAGGAGTAGTCCACCCCTCCCTTCTGACACTGGTCCTGTGTACCTCTGTTGGTGAGCAGCCCTGGACATATTTCTGTTAAAAATAACCAGCCTAGAGGGTAAAAAAACAACACACAACCATAGGGAGGAAAAGCCCTTGCCATGAGAATTCTTACCTTGCCAAACTTAATATGTAATAAAGTAAGATGTAAGAATGCAATGCAGCAAGACATATGTAACAGAGAAAAAAATAGAAGCATTTACATTCAGGAAGCAAAGGCACTCTGCACATCTTTATTTGGCTTTCCAAAATGTCTGTGTTACCAACATCAAAGAGCTTCCATTTCAATGAATAAAGTCATGTACATTATCCTTATTGTGATTCTTTTTTCTTTTAGAACATTTCGGGAAAATCTGTTGCATACCATACTAAAGGTGGTGGTGGGGATCTATAATGAATAGTTGGAATGTGAAAAGAAGGAGAGGAAAGAAGGTCTAGCTGGTGGACAGTAGTGACACATCGTGGCTCCATCAAAACAGAAATGCCGTGACACTTCTTAAAGAGATCAGCCAATGTTTCTGTCCTTTACCACATTTTAGATCCGGTCCATGGTTAAAAGTTTTCTCTTTCCCAGTGTGCTTCACTGAGTTTCTTCAGGAATCAGTATCATATCTGAAATGGGTTACAAAGAGACTGGGATTTTATGAGGAAGTTCCACATTCGATCAACTTTCGGAAACTCTTCCGGAAAGTATCATCCAAAAAGCCATAGAGGAATGGGTTGAGGCAACTGTTAGCGTAGCTTAGAGTGGTGATGAAGTAGGAGATTCCAATTATTAGAGGGGTTTGGGGGATGTCTGTGGTGAGAGCCACCACAGTACTGAGGTGATAGGGGGTCCAACAAAACAGGCAAACTGCCAAGATGATCAACACCATTACTGTCACTTTCTTCTTTGCTTTGTCCAGGGCTTTAGCATTGCTGTGGAGGTGCATATGCCTTAGCTTGTACAGCATGGTGCTATATAGGATGCAAATGGTAGACACTGGGATGGCAAAGCCCATGATCAGGGTGTAGAGACGACTCACTTTCCACCATAAGCCTTCTGGACTGGGAAAGACAAAGACACATTGAGACCGTCCCTCTTCAGTATGGATCTTGGCAAAAATACTAAATGGCAAGATGATGATTGTGACAAAAATCCAGACACACACACTTACTGTCTTGGCAGCCCTGTAGGTGCGATAGGACATTTTCTTTGACTTGACAGTAGCAACAACAACCAGGTATCGATCAATGCTCATGACAGTCAAGAAATAGATGCTTGAAAAAGTATTGTACTGGTCTATGGAGATAATTAGTTTGCACATGAATTCACCAAAGGGCCACTGAAGCAGCAGATAGTCAGCTATGTTGATAGGGAGCACCAAAGTGAACAGCTCATCAGCAATTGCCAGATTTAGGATGAAAATGTTCGTGACTGTCTTCATTTTGGGGGCCTTTAAGATAACATATATGACGGCAGAGTTCCCGGTAAGTCCAACAGCACAGATAACAGAATAGATGATGGGCACAGCAATGTAGAACGTAGGAATCAGTTGTGGGGCTGACATATTATGCCACTGGTGTCCTGTCCTGTAGCAGCCAACATCCACATCCACGCAGGAAGCATTGGGCTCAGCCTGGAAAGAAAAATTATCCATTTTCTATAGCAACAAAAATCAGTTTCCTCTGAGCAGGACTGTAGTTTAAATCAATTTAGCAGACTGGACCTTTTAACTATCATGCAGGCGAGATCAGTGCATTAGAATGCAGTACCTCAGAGGTTTGTTTCATATCCTTCAGTCTTGCAGCTGATTGAGATAAGCACATTTTAAACAAGTTCTTATTCTTAACACATTCTTTTTCATTTGCTTAATCCTTCACTTTATTTGTTCTTCCTTTTTGCATTTAGACTGTTCCTATTGCTCAGGCATCCTAAGGAAAACAAAGTTTAAATGCAAATAAATATATTTTAATGAGGAAAATAAATTTTAAATACAAATAAATATATTTTAATGAGGAAAATACATTTTAAATACAAATAACAGTCACCATAATCCCTGACTTTTGTAGATGTTACTTAGCATTGCAATATATTTATGTTTATAATAAAGCACAAAAATTGCCCTTCTTATATTTGAATTAATTCATTTTCCTTGTATTGCATAGGAGATGATATTGTACCTCATTGCTCAGGAACAATAATAAGCAGATATAAAAATCATACTTCTGTGAGTAAAAAATCCTGAAGAAAACTCTCCCATCTCCATGTGGATTATGCCTCTCTCTTGTTTGCTCACCTCACAGAATTCATATCCAAAGCATCCACATGCTGTTTATCACATTCAATTTAGTATGAATTATTAGTTGTTTTATGATCCTTTATTTCCCCTTACCTGGCTAATCAAAGTGCCATCTTCCCTTTCTGCATCTTCTTGTGGTTGCTCTTTTCTGAAGACTCAGTAGCAGGTGAAAAATCCCAAATGCTGCACCGGGATGCTGAAATGCTGGACAGCTCCCCAGCAGCTGCATCTCTGAACAGTTCCTCAGTCCTGGATTTCTGGAGAGCCTCTCCCCGAAGCCCACTTGCACTCCTCTGGGGCTGGCAATCAGAGTGCAGATGCTGCCTCAGCATGGGAGTGCCACACTTTCAATAGCCCACAGGTCAACCAACCCCATCACAGATTCATATTCTGTCTCCTCTGTAGAGATCTGTGTCCTCAGAAAATGCAAAGAGCTTTGTGCGGCAGTGGCTGTCAAGAGTTTGTGTTCCCTCTTCAGTCCCTTCATTTTGTAATCATAAAGTAAGATCAGTCTGCTTTCAGTAGTATACCTTTTCATCTGTGGAGGAGGCAGAAATGCCAGAGTTTTTCCTTGTTATGTATTAAGTCTAGCAGTTTCATTAAATGACCCAGAGTTGTTCTTTGAGTGAAAACAAGATCATCATTTCTGTTCTCTCAATTCTCTTCACGATTGTTATAGATCTCAAGAATGTCTTCTTCCCCTCCATCAGCTATCCATTGTATAAATGAAGAAACTTCAGTCTTCGAGAATACATTGAAACTTCAGTCTCTTCAGCATTACCCCAAAGACAAGTTTCTTAAAGCAAATGGTACTTTCACACTTTTCCATATCAATCTACCCAGTACAATTCCAGAAACAGGACGAATATGAATGATGTATCCTGAGAACACTTCTTTTTACACTTACTTCAAAGGTGCTTGAGGACAATCGTAACTGCCAGGAGGACAGATTATCTCATTCTGCTCTACATACATATAAACTCACATAAACACCAAGGATAGAGTGTCGGCACTAGCTATGACACTTAAAGTCTGATCCCAATTCTTCTCCAAGAGGGCAATGTACCTTGGCTGCACAGATGTAGGGAAAAGGAGATAGCGCAAGCACAGAGACAGAAACTGTTGCATTAGCACTGTGTAGTTGGCTGGGCAGCTCAGTGAGTTAAGTATGTGACTGCAGAGCCAGAGGTTGGGAGTCCAGTTCTCCATGGTGCATCTCAGAAGAATCAGCCTGGATGGCCCTGGACAAGCTGCACAGTCTCAGGATGCCTCCAAAAGAAGAGAATGGTAACCGCCTTCTGGATACTTTCTACCTAGACCACCTTGAAAAGAGTCACCATGAGTCAGAATTAACCTGATGGCACATAATCAGGGGATACCCAGTGTGATGTAATGGATAAATTAGTAGACTAGGACTCAGGAGGCCTGAGTTCAAATTCCTGCACAGCCATGAGAATTTACCAGGGTGTGGAACTGGTAAAGCCACTCCTTAAATATTCCACTTAGATTGAAAGCTTTATTAGGATAGTGTGTTAGGTATCCAGCTGTAGAACCTGAGGGTGGGAGCTCATTTCCCACTGTGGATCCCAGAAGTCGGAATTGACTTAATGGCACACAGTTACTACAGTATTCACCTAGATTTAGTTCTTGCACAAGTATGAGGGGGTGGTTATGCGTTACCCAGTGACAGTTGGATAGTAAGTTATATTAACTGTTACCTCAGTAATTCTAAGGCAACTTCACAGATACGTTTGGTGGGAACATGGGAGAAGATCTTTTCTGTTGCTGCTCCCAGACTTTGACCTCCCATAGGAGGCCAGGGAGACCCCATCTCTGCTATTCTTCTGCAAGCAGGTGAAGACCCCTTCAGGCAAGCTTTCCCTCAGTGACTGACTGGGTTTTTTAAATGGATTGTTGTTTGAATGTTTTTGATGTTGCTTTTGTTTACCATCTTTTAGTATGTTCTGTCTGATCCTTTTTAGTATTTGTACCCGTACTGTTGTCAGGTTTAAGTGTTGTCTTTTAACAATGTAAGCCACCTTTTGTCCTTTTGAAGGAGAAAGATGTGGCAATTTTTTTAAAAAAAAATAATAAAATAAAGCAATGCCACCTCAGATAGGACAAATAAGTCTTGTTTGGGCAGAGAGAATACAGCCTCTCCATATGCAGCTTTTAATTACATAATTCATTTGATTTCTACATTGACCATCTGGTGATGTCCACATGTGTCTGTTTGTTTGCTCGAAGCATGCATTTGCAATAAACAGACTGTTGGCTTCACAGAACTATGCAACTCATTCTCCTGCTTTGTTTCTGACCCCCAGAACAATTTTTCCACAAATATTTGGTTCCGTTTTATTTCCTACTTCCACGTTCTAGTCATCTTTAATTATACTCATGTCTTGTTTGATGTGTGATCCAGTTTCTTCCTGGATGATTGCATAAGAACTTTCAATTTCATCTTCTTCAGCTTCAGTAGTTGGAACATTAGCTTGAATGATGATTATGTTGATGGTTTTTTTGCCAGGATTCTGATTGATGTTATTTGATCATGTCTTGCATTATAAACCCTAACTCCCTGTGTACATCTTGCCTCAGTATTAGAGCCAATCCATTGCTTCTGAGTTTTTCATTTCCAGTGCAGAACACTTTGTAGTTGTTTGACTGAAAATATCCCATTCTGGTCTACTAGTGTGGTTCAATGACACCAAGCACTGAAATGTTCTTACAGTATGTTCCGTTTCTTGGTTTGAATGCTTAGGTTTCCTCATTTCTCTGTACTTTTGAGAAATTGTGAGTGTTTTAACATGTAAATTAAAAGCACTCTGCAAATTAAAAATAGCAAGAACTAGTGTGATCTAGAAGATATTGTGATGAATTTACAGTGGGGGAAATGACTCAGACATGAAACTCATATAAATGTAGCCTCTCTCACATAACTGCAGATAGGAGATTGAATGGGACCATCTCATAACTCAGCCCAAGCTCTCCTAGATTTACCAGGGATACACATACGATTTTTCAAAATCCAGTTTTACTTGTTTTAAGATAATATTAAAATTCCAGAAAATTTTTTTAATATGAACAGTGATTTATTGATTTGCAAAGCTACTTAAAGCAAACCAACTCTAGGGATGAGAAGAAATCTCAACAATATCTCATTTCTGGTGGAGAACACATCTTAACATGGCAAGACAGTTTGTCAAAGATTCTCTAACCTCTGCAAAATTTCACGTCTCCAGTCCAAGCGTAGAACAAGAAGCACTTCCCTCTTCTGCTTGCCATTTTGCACAAAAGGCAATAACAAAAGACTAGTGTTATTTCCCTAAGAGCATATGCATACCCGCAAGAGACAGGGTATGCACAAGCAATCCATCCAACAATGCTACCGCTAGATCATGCATACAAGAAAGAAAGACTTAAGGTATTTTTCAAGAATTCATGTTTCATTAAACTGCACAAAAACCAGTCTTGCAAATGAACAATATCTTTATGAGATGAACAAAGAATTTTCTTGCCACCTTGTAGTGAAAGATTTGTGGGTGGGTGTTGTTTCTTAGTCGTTATGTGGGAACAAACTGGGTCAGGATTTACACCACTTCTTTATTCATATATAAAGCTGCTGAGTTTAGTGAGATTTCCAGTCCATTAAGTATGTTCAGGATTACAATGTGAAGTCTTTAAGCTGTTAACTATATATTACACTATGTCACCAGAACTTAGCACAGTCTTTTGTCCTGAATTCTTTACATATTATGAAATTAGGTTTAGAACTTGTAATTATGGTGATTAAAAGCTTCAGATTACATTCTAAACTCTAATGTGCTCTTTCTGTGAAAATTGGTTTATTTGTATAATGCGCCAGTTGGGTTTTTTAGATTATTTGTTCTTTTTATGTTAGGACCTTTGTATATTATTTGCCATAGTCAATAGCAAACAAATTATCATGACTAATGGCTATACATCGTTCTTTGAGTCTCATTTAGTGAATGGACTTATGGGTAAGCAATGACATTTTCTCTCTCTAGTTACATTGTTTAACAAATGACAAATAAAATTGGCATGAAGGCTGAAATATTATCCACATTTGATTTCTAATTAAACTTGCATAAGATTGGGCAGTGTGCCCAATGAGTTACATTACAGGAATTATACTGTAGTATCAGTTAACAGGTCTACATTCCAATGGTTTGAAATGTTAGCTTCTTGGACTATGTCCCCCAGAATATTTCAGTTAGCCTGTCCATGGTCCATGTTAGGTGGGTATTTGGAGATTTGTAATTAAGAACAGTAATATTTCCATCTCACTGATATTATTTCAATCTAATTTAGGGTGAATGAATAATTCCAGCATGAGTATGAAATG